CGCTTTTTAGAAATAATATAATTACGCTGAATATCAACATGCGTCAGGGACAAAATGAACGTCAGTTCACCGATTGGTTGCGAAGAATTGGAAATGGGAATTTTAATAAGGAAGTGGAGATTGAAAGTAGGAATTTGGTTACATCGCGCCAAGAATTGATGAATTTTATAACTGACAATGGTCAAGCTCTTTCAAACCCGAAAGAGCTCATTAACAGACTTATATTAGCGCCACATAATGACACAGCAAATATGATTAATGAAGACATGCTCAATAAAATAAAGACCAATGAAAGAATATATTTCTCAACGGATGAATCGAATGTTGAGACGCCAATGGATTTTGATGAATGCGACCATGATGTTGAAGCTTTAAATTTACTAAATCCTCCGTCAATTCCACCACACCGGTTACACCTTAAAGAAGGATGTATTATAATTCTTTTGAAGAATTTGGGAGTAAGTAGAGGGCTTGTGAATAGCACAAGAATGATTGTAAAAGAATTAGGGGATGATATTCTGAAGGTTGAGGTTGTAACCGGGTCTGTGGCTGGCTCAGGACATGTTATCTGCCTTTCACGAGTGTGGTGTGATTACGAAGATAATAGAGAAGATGGAGTTAATTTTCGACGGTTGCAGTTTCCTGTTCGTCTTGCATATGCAATGACGATCATGAAGGCCCAAGGCCAAACTGCAACAAGAGTTGGACTCGACCTCACACATCAAGTGTTTGGTCATGGTAATCTATATACAGCTCTTTCGAGAGTTCGTACTGCTGATTCCTTTAAAGTTTTTGCACCACATGTTAATGAAAAGCAAACAACTAAGAGTAAAATGATAAAGAATGTAGTCGCCGATGGCTTAGAATTCTTCTAATGCCTTATTGAATTACACACGGACATGAATTACACACGGACATGCTTACACAACGCTATTCCACTGGCCTGGACATTAATTTCCTGAGCCTTCGCCAATTTATGCTTCTAAGTCGCCAAGGGCGAATATGTTACTTGATCCTAGCCTCTAAGACGCCTTTGGCGTATGTAACTTTATCTTAGCCTCTAAGACGCCTTTGGCGTATGTTTACTTGATCTTCAGCCTCTCGGTCGCCGATGGCGGTAGGAATACTTGTAAATATTTAAAAAACAAAAAATACAAAAAAATTTTAAAAATCAAAAATCCTAAAAATGTAAAAATCCCTAAAAAATACAAAAAAATTTCTTATCCCAAAAAAAAAACAAAAAAATATAAAAAAATTTCTTAAGAGACAGAATTCCAAAAATAAAATTACAAAAACTCAAAAAAAAAATTAAAAATTAAAAATCCTAAACATGTAAAAATAAAAACAAAAATAACAAAAACATTTCTTATCCCCAAAAAAATAAAAAAATAAAAAAAATTTCTTATACCAGATAAAGAAAAAATGGTGTACAAGGTCTTCCACACCTGACAGGCCTCCCCGTGGCCTTACACCGGTAACTCCTGCTATAAAGGCTGTTGTGAGCCATGCAGTTGAGGCTAACTATAATAGTCACAACACTATTATGGAGTCAAAGTGGTCAACCCATAATATCCAATCCCTGTAACTTTGTCAAATTTGCCCCTAAATTTGAACAAAAAATATTTTTAGACTCAGCTCGATAAGGGCTTTCAAATGATATATAATTTGTCCCACTTATCTTTCTTTTTGGAGAAATAATTTTTTGGCCAAAATTTTTTGCTGAAAAAATCACCAAAATATTTAAAATTTCATATCTTTTTTAATCTGTAACCTATTTACACGTTTTAAAGTCCTATTCTATGTAAAAATATCTGCGCTATCTGAGAAAAATACTTCCATACTCAAACGCTATCGAAAATCCGATAAAATTTTCGAAAAACCGAAAATTTTTGAAATTTTTGAAAATCGATCCCTACATCCCCAGCTCTGGGGTTACGTGAATTTTTTTCATTTGTAAAAATTTCTAATTTTTAGTATTATTTTATAAAAGAGACCCCACACAGAAATCCCAATCCTTTATAAAGTTATGATTATTTAAAGATTTCTAAATATTTTTCATAAGGGGTACCCCTATGGAAAAAACCGGGGGTACAAAATTTTCTAATTTTGACTAAAAAAATATATTATATAGTGGATTAGCATGCGCTGAGGACGAATCCGGTGTCGAAAAAGTTCTAAAAAATTTCCTGGGGCAATTTGAGTCTCAAACACATCTCATTCCCAGACAAATTTTAGTAACTTTTGACGAAGACCCAACTGGAACCCCAATAAAGTATATATTTTTTGAACAATCAGAAGACGCTCTACAAGAATCTACATAGATTTAACGTACATCTCCCAGCAAAAAACAAATCTAGCGTGCTTTTAAAGCCGCAGGCTTTCCACTCGCGTCCCTGGACGCGCCCCCAAACAATCAAAACCTAATAGTATTGTAACCAAACGCAGCCCCCGATGTATTTAACCGCCAGAGTGTCCTGATATGCACCCAGCTACTCACCCTGCAGCTGGTTTAGAAAAGGATAATAATTGAGAGAATTACGAAGATTTAAATTTCGAATGGCTCTTACTGGACATTTTCTATATTATAGGACGTTTAGGTTGAAATGTTGTTTTTAAAAAATTTACTATTGGAGCCGAAATAATTCTCTCTCGCCCCTTGAAATTTTTTCCTAGATACGGACTAGCCAAAGACTAATACTTTATAAATTTTTCAATAAAAAAATAATTATTATCATTTTATTCATAATTTACACGCATAAACATGTTAGGATTTCAAACACAATAAACAATAAATAGGTGTATATTATCTTTTAATTATAAGACCAATGAACAAATAAATATGGTGGACGAGAGGAAAATAATTTTTTCAAGTTTTTAGAGAAAAATAAATTTTTTGGTGAGACAAGTTTTTTTTAAATAATTATTCAAGTTAAACACAGTTGAAACGATAAAAGAGCTATTCTTAAAATGCACCCAAATACCCACAACGATCATTCATTATATATTTGGAAAGTTAGGAAGCTGACACAATGCGCCTGTAGAAATAAAATATTAAAAAATGTTTAATAAAAATTATAAAGTGATATGAAAAAGGGTAGAGGACCATTCCCAAAAGTTCATTTCCAAAAATATTCAGAAAACTTTAAAAAACGACTTTTTCCTTGTTGTCTGGGGTTTAAGATGATCATTAATGAAAATTTTTATATTAGAAAAACAAACAAACCCAATATGATCCATCGAAGTAGTGCAATTCCCATCAGAAACGACCATTCCACTACGCGAAACATGAACTCGCTTAGCTCCACATTTAACATAAGCTTTCTCATCACTCTAAAAAGAAAAAAACTTTTATAAAGTATTCCTTAATTTTATAAACCTGAACTTCCATTTCAACATTAGACCCACGAAGATGAATAGTAGACTGACTTGGAGAACAAACAATTTGACGAGGACGACAAAATACTTCAACATCACCATCCAGCTTTTGACGAATCAGAAAACCTGAAAAATATTTTTTGTTAAATTGGAAACATTTTTAAAGTTTTTAGAATCTAGAATTTTTCCCAGAAATCATAAAAAATTAAATATTGCAAAATATTACCATTAATACTGACACTAAACAGCATGCCGCTTTTTTCCTCATATCTTGCACGGTGAACAATATCATCGCAAGCATAAACTTTTGGAAGCTGAAATTTTAAACATTTTTATCTTCAAAAGAATTTTGTGTTCTTACATATTCAGCCGAATCATTATATGAACCAAAAACTTGCGAGTCAACATAAAATTGACGCAGAGTATAATCATATCGCAACGATGGGAATTGAATACGATCCATGGAAAGAGCAGAAGTGCCACGGGCAGCAGCAGCCGAAACAAGAAAAGCATCCTTCAGATGAGACATTGAGAAAAGAACGCCTTGAGTACCAAGAATTGCCTAAAAGAGAGTAGTGTGTCAAGAATATATTGAAGAAAACTAACCATTTTCGCCAAATTCACAACAGATCCTTCTTGAGTATTAACCAATCCATTATCATTAATCAATGGCATACCAATATTTCCAACCATAAAATCCGCAGGTACTTTAGGATGGTTACTCAGGTTTGAACGAATCCAATTGGTATCAGTATTCGGTTTTGGCAATCCAATGCCGCTTTTAGTTGGCGTCTCCAAATTGCTATCATTGCCAGGATCTGTTAAATTTTGAGGTAAAACTAAAAAGCAACCATTAAAGAACTCACAAAAGTAACAGAACACTTTATCTTCCTCCTGAAGTATGTGTCCGAATGGATGGAGAATCCCAGACTTTGATCCCTTATGAGTACTTGAGACCTGTTAAAGCAAATTTTAGAAAATCAATAAATTTTAAAAAATACCGCAAACTTATTCCAGCATACGACACGAATAGAACGATCCAAACTAATTTCAATATTAACATTATGCGCCATGGTGATTGAAATAGTTCCAAATGGTGTTACACAAACCTTCAAAAATATCATTTAAATATATCATTTAAATAAATTACCAATGGATATTTCAACTTTTCGGTTGGCCCTTGCATAGTAGGCAAAGAGGCATTCGCAGTTGTAGTACTAGAGGTATTAAGCATTGTCGATTGGTGAATGCAATTAATTTTTAAGATTGTTAAGAAGTTTTAGCTGAAAATTTTCTTGTTAAAATTCGATATTTACATAAATAAATCAATAAAGAATCAGAGATAAGGAAGCTAATTTTATACCCTATTTAACCCTTAATCTTTTACGCGCAGGAAATTTTAACGGAAATCCGTTGAAAATTTTGGAAGAAAAACCGGAAACTTAAAACAAAAATTACAAAACGCCAAACTTATTTTTGTAAAAATTATTTTTAAATTAAGAAAACAAATTTTTGAAGAATTCGTTAGGTGTGAGTTGTTTAAGTGCCAAAATTTATAATTTTAATTATCTATTTAAAGCTTTTTAAACGCCTTATTCACGATTTAATTTATTACTAATTGTTAAATGTCATCACTGACTACATCCAGAAGAAATGGGTCTTTGGAAAGAGGAGACGCCTTCACCGAATATGAGAAAATTCTTCTTCGGTATTCTAACATTTTTTCTTTTTTATTTCTTTATTTCAGAGAGGCAACACCACGTATTCAAGATTTCAAAGAAATACGGGTTCTTGAACAGATGCTTGACAATCAGTCAATAGTTGTGGCCGAGACACTTATTGTTGAACGTATCAGTAAGCCTTTGTGTCATTATTCCCTTCGGATAGTAGAACTTAGAAGTGTGACTGCGCTCCGAGCGGCTGTATGCCTAAGAGTTTTTCTTTAATTAATTTCTAAATTTTAGTTCCACGAGATTAATCTCCTCAAAAATATTGGGATACATCCGCGCATTATGGGCTTATTCATGGCATTCCGCCATCGGCAATACCTTGGACTTCTACAACCGCCATTCTCTACATTGCATGATAAGATTGATTTGTTACGTCGGTATGCATTAATTTTTAGTGGGTCTTTGTGATTGGAAATATTTTTTTCAGTTTCAAAAAATCAGGGGGAACATGTTCTCCTGTCATCTTTAGAGACCCGTGCACTAAAATTTCTATGAAAAATTGTTCTCGGATGTCTGAACGTTTTTTGAAGGAACATGGTGTTTTTAACAGGAATGCAGTTGTATTTGTACTATTGCAGGTCATTTCAGGTATATTTTGAATAGAAGACTTTAAAATCATTTACTTTTATTTAGCGCTCGAATTTCTCAATTCAAAAAATTTTGTTCACACACAAATTTCCTCATCAAGCGTTTTTATTGACGGTCGATGTTCTATTAAACTAGGTTCATTTATGCATTGTCGCCGTATTGGATCGAAGTATTTTTTCTTATTTTACTAGTTATTTGAGATATTTTTCTTTTAGGCGTTGTTTCTTCACTGGAAATCCAAATCTTTTTCCACCTGAAGCATTTCATTGTGATGATCTTTTTGTCAAGCCAAACTTTGACACTTGGGCTCTTGGACTCTTTGTTTTGGAGATGGCAACGGGAAGGCGAATGCGGTACTCGCGCAATGAAATGTCAGATTTGGCTGCTAAATTTGTGATATTATAATTTAATAATTTTATTCCTTTCCATTTTAGCTCAATGGCACTGAGGCACCACCAACACTAGAAGAAACAGCTCCTGATACTGTTTTCCGTGGACAAGTTTAAATCATTTTTTAGTGTTTATTTAATTTTTGTTTAGCAACTTTACGATCCACATGTTACAAACTTCCTTTCTGAATGTTTCAAGATACACCATGCTAAACGCAGAGCTCCTCTTGAGCTATTATCGCATCCTTTTTTGGCTCGTTTTTTCGATAAAGGGGAAGCTCGTCTACAACTTGGAGGTAATTTTTTTTAAATATTTTAAAGATATAAAAATGTTTTGCCTTTAAGTTGAACCACTTAAAGAGATTCCATGGGAGCGCAGAAGAAATCTACGTCTTGATATCCTTACTTGCCAGTCACACTATGCACCTCTCAAAGAAGAGCTCCTGGACCAAATATGTCACGCTGTTAGACTAGTGCAAGATAAAAGTTGTTGTCCAATATTTGAAGAAGATTTAAAGGAAAGAATGTCTAAAGATAAATATGTTGCAGTCAACGCTTCTTTAGCTTTCCTCCAAGATGAAGACGATGATTGGAGCAGAGAAGTTTTAGATGTTTCAAACGCAAGTTCACCCGACCGTACAATTTTGCCCAAAACACGAGCGAATAGGAGACCAACACTTTCTGGTGAACAAATTCGTCGTCAAAATGTAAATTCTCCTTTTGAAGGACGGGTTGGTTTTAATTTTCATATTTTTAAATTCTAAAATTTTTTTTAATTTGTAGGAATGTCAACGTTGTGAAATGGTTTTTTTCATAAATCAAAATTGGTCTATGAACAACCGACACCTATTTATTGCGCTTCAATTTGCTCGATGGTTTGAACGAGGCCTAATAGCGTTAGTTTTGAAATTATAGTGTTTAAAGTTAATATTTTCTTTAACTTTAGTTTTGCTGATTTGATACGTGTAGTGGATGAATTAGATGATATTCTCATAGACTACATAATATCCAGTGAACCTCGACCATTATCTCCATACAAACATCGAATGTTGGCTGCAAAACCCGATTCTGTAGCATTTGTTAGTGGACTCCGACGCAGTTTTACTGATCGTTCTCCAAGGGATGATATAAGGTCCCATCGTTACAACAATATTTTTGTTGAAGTTGCTCTTAGTTTGGATGCGGTCTGCAAGAAAAAGGCAAATAAATTTTTGCAATTTTTTTTTAATTTGCCACTTTTTCAGCAAAAAATGGATCGGCTTCGAGAAGGCGACACTGTTCTCTACCCTAAAGAGCTCGGACCTTTATATGCATCAGCAACATTTTATGAGCTAAATATGGAAAGACTTCGTCTTTTGGAATCTATAATGCTTGGAAAACGAAGAATTGATGACTGGGAATTTGATGTTGAACAATGTTTTTCTGATTCAGCAAATACTTCACAAACATCTTTAACGTAAACTTATTTTTTTACAAATTTATTTTTGATAATTTTGGCCTTTTAGTACCCTGCTACAAGCAAGAAGAGATAATCCAAATGCAAAAATCAGTTCAGAAATTGACTGGGATGTTAGCAATCAGGCAGAGCATGCTAAGATCTGGGTATCTTTTTCTCACATTTAACAATTTAGTACTTGAATTTAGGGTGACTACAAACGCGATTTTTTGTTTCGCTTCGCCAAATATGCGATACCATATAAGGTATTTTACTTATATAGTTAGATTTTAAGGAAAAAGTAATTTTTAGCTAGAAACGGAAACAGTCAAAAAGCTTTATGAGACACCAAAATCCTCCATCTCAAAATCTCCTGTGGAATCTTTAATCGAACGTTTGCCTTGTGGAATCCCGGACGAGGATAATGTTGAAGTAAGCTAATTTTAGAAGGAAAAATTTTATCTAAACATTTTTAGTTACAACTGGCTAAAACACTTTCTAAACAAGAAGAGGATGTGGCTTCGCCAATTAAATATCATGATGATGTCGAGGCTAGAGAAGAATTAGTGCGGAAATTAATGAGCGAAAATCATGCGAAGGACTTGCGGATTCGTTCAATGGAAGAACAAATGGAACAATTAAGAACACAATTGAATGTTAAATGTGATTCCCCATTAGGACTAGATTGACATTTTTTATTTTCAGATATACCATTTTGATCCTAAACATCTAATCTAAAAAACTTAATTTCCAAAAAATAAACAATCGAAATTCTTTATGTTCGTTGAGATTGAGCGAAATAATTTTTAAAAATAATGGCTTGAAAAGGGTGTCGAATTGAATATACAGAATCAATTTTAAAATATTAATGGTATTTAACATTCATTAAAGTCAACATGGAGTAATATTCGATTTTAATAGTTAGACACCCTGATTAAATTACATAAACTATAAGTAAGACAACAAAGGCATAAAAATGAGGCGATAAGATCATTCAATTGTTTTCACAAAATATTTTCTTTAATAGTTACACCACATATTCCTACGCCGAATATCAGCCTTCTCATCTTCCGTCAAGTCATCCTTAAAAAATAAGTAAAAATTATTCCATTTAAACAATAGGCAAAAAAAACCTCAAGTCCAAAGAGTTCTCGAATTTCTTCTGGAGTCTTATTACCAATAAAATTAGCCATAGCTTGGCATCCATAATAATACTAAAATTTTCATTTATTTTGTTTAAGTTTAGGCATTACCAGAGATTTAATGTCCAAATAGTTGGCAGCCTTAATCAAATTAGCAATCTCCTCAACGCCGACCTTAAACAGAAAATTATGTAAAATGAAAAAATTTTAGCCGTTAGCTACCTTGAAAAAATCCGTCTCATATTCAGAAAAAGTGAGCGCCTTTCTTTGACGTGTAGCTGGATCATCTTCAATCTGAGGATCAGGCTTACCTAAAAAATAAATGTTTTTGTAAAAAATAATTAGTAAATTAACCAATATGTTCTCCCATCCATTCAACAACTTTCGAGAAAATATTAGTCTCAACATTGACTTTAAACTCGAATTCTTCCAGGTCCTTAGGCGACATGTCCAAATCCTGAAAAATATTAACGGGCGAGGATTATCTCAAAATTAAAATCTAATACCTTCCACATATTCATGAAAACGCTGCTTTGAAGAAGATGCGAAACACGGACATTGATCACCCCTCCATCACTTGTCTTGCATTTAATCTAATAAAAGAAAAATATCCTAAAATATTTTTAATTTCAATAAAAACCTCCATTTGCATCTGTTCATCGGTAAACGGAGCAGACTGCTTTCCAACTGATTCACCGTTACACTCGACGTCAGAAGCTGCAATTTCGGTGTCGGACATTTTTTTATTTTTATTTAAAAATTTATTTTTGATATCTGTAAAGAAAAAATAGGCAATTTAAAATCAAATAAAAATATATAGAAAAATATCAAGTATTTAGAAAATGACATAGAACAATTTATTTAACTATCTTTCCTAATAAGATTATGAGTCATCAATAAACTAATCAATCATAAACTAATCAACTTTATCAAAAGAAAAAAATTATTTTAAATACTTTTTTAAAAATACAAAACGCCAACAAATTCAATAATCGCGATTCTTAATCTTTATTAGGTTATAACTTTTTGTATGTTGATCTGATCAGATTAAACCTGCTAGATAAAATAATCCTTACATCAAGAGCTTTCGAATGATATAATAATTATCTAAATCGATTAAGAATTGAAAAAGTTATGGCCCAAAATACATATTGACCCAACTGCGACGTTTCGTTGTTCTGGCGTTTTGTATTTTAAAATAAGTTTTAGCGAATAATTTTTTCCTTCTCTTTGTGTAAAATTTTGTTTAAAAATCCTCGAAAATGTTTGTTTAATTTATTATTTTGTACTTTTTAGATATTTCATCAAACATTGATATTAAAAAATGAATGAGTTGGATTCATTTTTCGCTAAGAAGGCAAAAAAAGCAAAAAAGAAGGGTGTCATACGTTTGCAGGAAGTTGCTGAACAACTTGAGCTTCGTGCACGAATTCAAGTATTTTTCTTTAAATTTTAGATCCATTTTCTTTTTTTATTTTTAAGGATGAATTGGATGAAAATGAGACAAAAAATGAAACCGAACCTACAACGACGAAAATTTCCAGTAACAATAATGACAATGAAGATTCTGAATGGTTGGATTTTGATGACAAACCGATGCTTCCATCTGTCATAAAAGAAATGGCTGATGTTGATATTGAATTGGAAGAGTCAGAAATGCGTTCTAGTGTCGAGCCTGTCAAAACTTGGAATTTGAATAATAGCGAGGTCTTTAAATTTTATAATTTTTTATATTCCAAAACACACTCTTTTAATTCTATTTTAAGAATATCGACGTTATGCCGCTGCCAGTTACTCCAAAAAAAGAAAAATATGAGCCTAAAGCAGCTGCTCGAGCTCAGAATAAACAAAATCCTTTGGATTTGAAAAATGAAATGTTGTTTCCTTCTTTAAGCGATGCTCCTAAAATTGAACAAATTCTGAAAAAAGAAGACGAAGAAAATAGGTTGCGAGAAATTGAAGAGAAGAAGGAGAAGCAGCTTAAGGAGGAAAAGCTGCTAAAACAACAGCAGCGTTATGTGCCACGTTTTCAGTCAAAAGATGCTATGCCTAAAAAGTATGGTACATTCCTTATTAACTTTTTTGAATTTTTAATTTAGTGTTCCACCACCAAGTGATGAACCTGACAACTGGAGAGCCGCCCCCGAACCTGCTAGTAAAGGGGGCACAAATATTGCGAAGCAGCAAAATGTTAAGAAGAGGTTCTCATTTTTTTTTAATTTTTCGTTTAAATGTCTAATTTAGTATTACTACGACTAACGATTCTGACAATTGGAGAGATCGTTCTGAAACTGCAACGACCGAAGTTAAACCATCGCGAATCTCGGTTCAATCACCAAAGAAAGATGATACTGATAATTGGAGAAGTAATACCACGACAACAGCTGCGAGTGAAATCAAACCTAAGAATATTAGTGAACAACCTGTTAAGAAAACGTTTGTTTTTTTTAATTTTGAAATGAGATTTTTATTTTATAAAATTTTAAAAATATATAGACTCTAATAAATTCATATTTAGGTATGTTCCTCCAAGTATGCGTGCTAACAAGCAGTAACAACAGTGATGCCTTTATTGTTGATTGGACTTTCATTTAAATTTTTTTCTGTCAAAAAAGGTTTCAAAATAAGATTGTAATTAGAGAAAGGCTAAATTGAATTGAATTTTTTAAGATTAGAGTGAACTTTAATAATTTTGACATATTTTGTACAATTTAAGCCTATCTCCGTTGATTTATCTAAATCTAGTATTTGGTTAATCGGTGATTATATAAGCTGTTTTATCTTTTATATAAAAATTAATTATTGCTTTGAATATTTTTTGAATCATTCAACGGAAGATTATCCGAATTTATATTTTTTTACAATTAAATATTTTTTATTTCCAATTTTTAATACAATTTAAGTTTTTTTTTAAATTAAAATGGATTTTGATAAATTAGCAACAGAATTGGACAAATTAAATTTGCTTCAATTGGAAGGGGAGGATCTGAACGATCCAGAAACTTGGCTTTTCAATCCAACACCTGAGAGTCCTAGAACTAAAGAAGATGAAAGTTTGGATAAATGGTTAAAAGGAGCTGTTGAAAAAGTTGATTTTCGTACAAGATCAGCTTTAAGTCGCCGTTTAGAAAAGAAAAGTTTGTTTTTTAATTTATACAAGTATGGGCTGAAAAGGGTGGGGTGTTTTGAGTTTTTTAAATTAACTATAAGTAAAATTATTTGTTTTTCAGAAAGAAAAGTGGATAAAGAAAAGCGTCGCAACAATATGGAAAATTCTCTATCAATGATTGAAGAGGTTAGTAATGAATCTGGACCTATGTCTGATCGTGAACAACAACGCAATCGAAGGCCTCGAGAAAAAGAAAATATGGCTGCACGTAAAGCAATTAGTGAAGCTAGTATTGATTCTAATGATGATTATGAAGATGAGGAGGATGATGAAGAATATTTTGATGCTCCAAGCACACCAAAGAAGTTACCTTTTGGAAGAAATTTGGCTGCACAACAGTCACCAAGAAAAATTCGGGGAATTAATACAACGCCGAGAAAGTTTGTTTGTAGAAAGTTTGTTTTTAGGGTTTCTTTCCTCCTTTTTTCTTTCTAAATTTTTTCTTGAGCAAGTAAAGTTTCTGGCTGATTCCCTGGTTCCTTTTTTTAAAATACTATTTATAAATTTTATTTAATTTTTTCAGTCCAAAAGACTTGAAAAAGGTAAAATTAGAGAATGTCAAAGAAGAATCGCCAACAGAATGGAAAAATCTTGGGGATATTCAACGCCGTGCTAAAGAACAGGAAAAAGGTTTTCTAATTAAATGTTTGTTTGTTAATTTAATTTGTAGAGCTTCAACTTGAATTAATGAAAAGTCGTAGAGACTGGCAAACAACAACGACATCCAACAAGGCTTCAATTAATGTTAATACGTCTTCGCGTTCTCGACAAAGTAAACTTTTTAATAAAGCTTTTTATCTAAAATTTTGTCCAAATTTAAAGACAGCACATCGTCTTCTGCTTCTTCAATAATTAGTGGTCATTACAACAACAACACCAACAAAAATACAAATAATTCAGCACAATCCTGTACGATTTCAACAAGTAAATCAGTTGATTTTCGAAGCAAGTCATCATCAGTTAAAAATTGTGATCAAATTTCTATTGCTTCCTCGCGTTCAAACGAAGGGTCCTTAGCTGATTTAAGTGTTTTTTCTGCTTCTGATCAAATCAATCAGGGACTGAATTCGGTTTTTCTATTTGTATTGGTTTTTTAGTAAATTTAAATTTTCTAGCGTCTACCGCTTCCTCGTCGTCCAACTATTCCAGGCAAAACTGGAATACCACATCCAACACCTAAAAGGTTTTTTTATTCTTATAGTGTTGTGAGCTGGAAAGGGTTGATTAAGTGCCGCTTAGGGTGCTTTACCCATTCGTACTAAAGACTGACCTTTCAATTAAATCCAAAAATAAAAATCTGAATTATTTTTAATTTAAATAATTTTTTTAGAATTTTGCAAAAGATTGAACCAGCAGAAAGAATGCGGAATAACTCATCACCACCTGCTGATCCAACACCTATGGATGATGATGAATGTTTTTAATTGATGTTAAAAATATTTAAAAGATGATATTTCGGTTTCTTTTTTAATTATAGAATGTATATTTTTTTATTTTTTTAAATATATTTTTATAAATTTTTTGAATGTAAAGATTTGTAAAGCAAGAAGGTTAAAAATATTTCCTTTGATTTCTTTTTGTTGTGGAATGAGTTTGTGGAATTTATGAATATTGGGAGAGTTTCTGAGGGTTTTAACTGCGTTTTAAAAATATTAACGATTATTACCTAAACTTTTTTTTACATTTCTTCATGTAAACGTAAAAAGAAGCGTTAAAGTTGGAAATTTAGTAGAAGATGTCATTTTTTATTCTCCGGGGTATCCTAAATTTATTGTTTTTCCTTTTTTTTCTTTTTGCGGCAAAAAAATTTTTTTGGAGAATGGGCGGCATTTTTTATTATTTATTTCCGCCTCATATGACTTTTAAAGTAGAAGAGCTAAACAAAAATATTTAAATTTAATATTTGAATAAATAAGGCAACATTTAATTGTTTTTTTTTAATATTTACACAGATTCAGATTGAAGGCAATTTTAAATTAAATAGAGAATTTTAGTGACGTCTGATTAGCTAAATTGAAAAAAAAACAATTGAATGTCTCATTGAAGTCGTCAACAAATAAAAACTAATTTTAATATGGATTGTTTGTCTACTACTGTTGAGAGGAGCAACAGGAAACAAGTTTGTTTTTCTTTTAATTTTACAATAGACGGGTTTTCTGGGCCTGGAAGGGTTATTAAATAGTTAGCACAAGTTTATGGTGTAAACGTAAAAAGAACCTAGGTTTTTCCTTGACTACAGATCCGGCCCATGTCAATAAATCAAACCAGGCCAGCCAGGCCCAGGTTTTTCAAAAATTTCGATCTTTATTACACATACTACATATAAAATTTAAAAAGGTTCGTTTTGTGTCACCATTAATTAGCCATCGCCAAGTTTCATCATTACCTTCACCTCCGCCAACACCTCTTTTGTCTCCAGTACTTACTCCTCCATCATCTCCTTCATTGAATCAACATACTTTTAGGCATTCACTGAAAGACAACAATAGTTCTATTCATCACAGAAATTTAATAACGTCGTCTAGATCGTTAACGTGTTCTCCACAAAGAGGAATTTGTAAAGAGGTTTTTCTTTTATTAAAAAATATTTTTGTTAAAAAAAATTTTCTTTTAGAAGACGTTAGAGCAATTACCTCAACAACGTTCATTAGCCTTTCGTTTGGTTCAAACATTAATTAAACATTCTTATAGTTCCGATTCTTTACAACAAGCATCAAAAACATCATCAACACAAACAAAATTTTATCGTTCAAAATTACCTTCAAAACAACCTTCTTTGCCAACTTCATTTTCATTAAATTCAATTTCTTCAACTTCTAATTCAGCAATTTACCAACTTATTTGGAGAGATGAAAGACAACGCTCTTTTGATGAATTAAAAGGAAAATTAGGTTTTCTTTTAAATTTATTTTTTAAATTGTGGTAATTTTTGGTGTTCCAATGTCCCACAAAAAGAACATATTTCCCTCCAATAAAAATATTTTTTTTTATTTTTTCCTCCTCACTGACTTTTAGTCTAAAAATAATAATAAAAAATATATATTTTTTATGACTAACCAAGGGAACATATTATTATTTTTTTTCATTTACATTTTCTAAGAAAAATAATAAAATAACCTCACTTTCCTCCTTACCCTTTTTCCTTATTATTTTTTCAAATTCGTTCATCAAAGAACTTCTCCTTCTCCTCCTTTCTTTTAAAAAACCTTTTCCTCCTTCTATTTATTTCCCTCATTTTTTAAAGGCAACCACCACCACCACCGCTCTTCTTCTTCTTCGTCCTATCCTTCCAGACGCCGTTGTAACTTTCGTCCCGAGGGCGTGGTCTTCCATAATTCTGTTGGTGGGCCTTCTCTTTCAAACTCTTCTTCTCCTCAAACCTTTTCTTCCACCACCACCACAAACTCCTCTTCTCTTCGTTTAGCTAATACCACCACCACCACCCCCAGCACCACCACCACCACTACCTTTCATGGCAGCAGCACTCTTGGTGGTTGTGGTGTCAATATCTGCTGCCGAGCGTCTGCCGTAGAGGAAACTACTACTAAAAGAAAAAAGGAAAAAAAGCGCCCTCCTCCTCCTCCACTCTTCTGCCATTTCCACAAACCAGTGGAGCACCAAAAATTTTCTTCTTCTCTTTTTCAATCTAGTCAAAAAAGAATTTTTTGTTGGCCACCACCTATATTAGCTGGTCAAGTGATTTTATTTAAACAACAAAAACGTCGTTTGCCAAATAGTTATACATTTCCTCCACCGGTAATAATGAATGCTTCTCCTTCACATCATCAACAACAACAACAAGCTTATAATGAATTGGAAGATTTTGATGAAGATTTTGTTCCTCGTTCTTCAAATACTGCTAGAGAAAATTATAGGGTTAGTTTGGATTTTTTTAAATAATTATATGGAAGGGGAACTGGTGTTCTGTGGTTTTTAATTTTATTTTCTGATTTTCTGATTAATTATTTAATAAATCGGAACAGAAGTCTTCATTATATTAATTAATTTCTCTCATAAAAATCGTCTAAAATTAATCAAAAAAAACTTTTTTGTTTTTTAATTGGCCGGTTTCCTCTTTCCTTCCTTGTAATAAATTTAAATTTTTATTTTACATACTATATGCAATTAAAGAAAAATTCTCTCCAAATTTAGAAATTTATTATTTCATCCATCTAAAAATATATTCATCTTTTCATTTAATTTTTACTTCCTTTTTTACTTATTCTTACACAAAATTCCCTTTATTTATGAGATACAAGTATATAAAATAAGGTAAAATATGGGGTATAAAGAAGAAAGAAAGGATGGGAAAGTAAGCTAATCCCCCCTAAAAAATAAAAGAAACCACCAAAAGTTTTTTTGGCCAATTTTTTTTCTCGAGGGAATTTTATCCGTTTCTTGGCAGTCAAACAGCCAAAAAAAATATTTAAGTACTTACTATTATATAGTACTGTTTTTTTGTATGTGTAAGTAAGGGTTTCAAAATTTGTAAACAACCAAACTAGCTAATTTTTCCCTCTGATATTTATCCTTTTTTGATAAACAAACAAAAATTTGTTTATTTTCTTGGAATTGTTTATCTTTGAATGGAAATTATTATTTTGCACTTTTTAAAGAGCTCTTTTAAAAGAAAAATCTTTTTTAAAAATCAAGAAATTATTTTTTTGCCGTATATGCACAAATAATTACCCGGGGTAATTATGTATTGTTTCAACTTTTTACTGAAAGGGAATTTTGGAAGGGATCTGGAAGGAAAGGGAAGGGAAGTTTTTAAATTTTTTGGGTGACTTATTTGAGCGTGTACAGTAGATTAATTTTATTATTTAATTATACCCCTCATTCTCTCTTTTAATTTCTCCCATGAGATCATCAACAATTTTTATATTCTTTTTTGGTGTCTGTTCCTAAATTTGGGAATTTAATGGCAATTTAAAAGCATTGAAATTAGAACAATAAAAAAAGGCAATCTCATTTTTCTGCTGTTCAAAAATTTAATTTTCTATTTAAATTAATTTTCATTTTTTTTATTATTTTCATTTTTATGCCATTAAATTTAAACATTTTTTGCCCCATCTGTTTTTTGTCTATTAATTTATGTTCTCTATTTTTCAGTTTTATTCTGATTTTTCTTTCATTATTTTATTTTATGTTCTTCCCAATCTTTCCGGAAATCCTTTTTTTCTCCTTTGGGATATGAATATCAATTAAATTTTGGGGGAGACAAACTGGAGACTAAATCCTCAATAACTTTTTTCTTGACAGAATGAAAATCATTTTTAGATTTTATTTTTAGATTTAAATTTCACTACCATAAAATAGGAAAAAATATAAAAAATGACTAACCACCCCGTTCTCTTTTACTGAAATAATTTTAAATTTAAAAAAATAAGGGAAAAAATTGGCAGTGAGGGAGGATGATTAGTTGAGGTTTAAAAATGAGGGAGAGAAGAAGAATGGGAGAGGATTACAAGACAATTTTTCTTTAATTTTGACTTGGGGGGTTAAAATTGAAATGAAATATTGAAAAGAATAGTAGAGATTTATGAGGAGAAAAATTGAGTCGAATTTTGAAAATTTTTGGGAAATTTTATATTTAAAAATCGTCTGCTTTTCTTGAACATCTGAAAAATTCGAAAATTTTAATTATTATTTTTTATAGAATTCAATGGAAGGCCATATCGAAGAAAGAACTCAAATTCGACGAATGTCACTTAAAGAATTTAGTGTATGTTTTTAATTACGAGTAATTAAAAATTTATTTTATTTTTCAGGGATTGGATTTACTGGAAGAACAAGCAAATCAAAAAGCATCTCTGTAAATTTTTAATTTTTATTTCTAATCTGTTATGGTTAAAGTTTTTTAATTTTTTTTACTTTTAGTTCCCCAATGCTTCATCCTTGGAGAAGTGGACAACAATTAACTCTTGGAAGTTTAATTGATAAATTTAGGTTATTTTTAAATAAGAGAAGTTTGAAAATTTTTTAAAATTATTTTTTCAAGTAATCGACGTCGTTCCTCTTCTTCTGGAGGTGCAAAACTTGAAGGTGCTGGTCTTCATCATTCACATTCTTCGGATGATGGATATAACTCGTTTGATCGAGTTCTAGATGGAATTAATCAAGCAATACGAGAAACAATTGCAACAGAAAATAATGAACAAACAGCAACAAAAATTGAGGGAGGAGAAAAGAATGGAGTCAACAATCATCATTTAGAAAAACAATATAGCACTGGACGTAATACTTTTGGACAAACATTGCAGAGGTTTTTTTGAATTTTATAATTGAGAAAAAATTTTTTTCTAAAAGATTAACAAATATCCGAAATCATCTAAATTCAACTTTACAATCTGTCCCAAATGCCAGTCCAAGAAAAGCAGCAACATCAGAACCTGATTGTGAAAAGTTGGTGTTGCTTAATGAATGTAAAGATCTTGTTATTGCGTTAGTTTTTTTTCTAAAAAAATTTTTCTATTTTAAAAATTTTCAAAAAAAATCATTTTCAGGTGTAAAGACATGGTTCGCAATGCTAACTCTTCTTCATCTCCACCTTCAAGTCAAACAACTCTTCAAACCTCGTCTTCTACTGACTGCCATCAACGTATATAATTCTTAAAAAAATAAAAAATAATTTTTAATTTTTTCTAGTTGTCCAAACAGTTGTGGATAGTGCTGAAAGAGCAATAGATAGTGTTGAAATGTTGATCCGGAAAAGTAATTCGATATTTCAAGCTCAACAGCTAACTTCAAATGCTGATCAGGTTTATTATAAGATTGTTAGATTAACAATTTATTTTTTTTCTAGTTGTTGAAGGCACTATCAGAAACTGTACGTGAAGTAGAAAAATGTCAGAAGCCAGCAGTTAAATCAAATGAACAAGTAAAACAACTTGTTCGCTCCAGGTTTTCTTTTCTTCTTTTTAAAGTTAAAAATTATTTTTGTTAATTTTAGTACTGTGTTGACGGCAAACTTGATCAGCTTCACTGAATTAATTCGAAATATTTGAAGATGAAAAAGATGGGATTTGTGAAGTTATTAACAGTTAAATTTTAATTTAACATTTTTATTTTTTATTTACCCCTCATTTCCTCACATTTCCTCCTATCACTATTTTTTACTTGAAATTCAGTCGAACTTCTTTTTTATTCTAAATACCTTCAAGATTCCTTAATCTCCTCATTTTAAGATATTTTTAAGATATGGTTAGCACTTTTGTGAGTGAGAGGGACTGCCACTGTCATTGAAGAGGATTTGGTGGAAGGGACTGTCGCTGACATGAGTGAAAGGGACTGATCGAAGTCTCATGAGATACATTTCTTTCCATAGGGTGTATGTGTAAAATCGAGGTCCGACTGTGATTATGTATTTTTTAAAAATATTTTTCATTCATTTAAAATTATCAATGCTTATAAATTTTATTTTAATTAAAAAATAAATTTAATAAAAATTTTTTTCATTTGATCTTTATTTTTTTATTCAAAAAAGATTTAAATATTCATTTATTATTTATTTTTTCATTTTTCACTATATAATTCAGCTTAAATATTTTATTGTTTCGTTCCTATCAAAATTCCTCTCACATGTTAAGAAGTGTCACGCGCTCTCTCATGCATTAGTCAGGTGCCTGTCCTGTCCCCCTAATACCGCCAAACCACGTAAATTGATAACTAAACCCTTCCTCTTCTTTAACCTCTTCTTTTTCTTCTTTATTACTTTTTCTGCTTGCATAGGCTCTTTTTGATTGATCGAAGAATTTTTTGGTTGAATGTGATTTTTATTTTTTTTGCATTTCTTTTTTCATAGGAAAATATTTTTTGGGGGTTTCCCATATTAAAGAGGAAAGAGTGGAGGACTTTTTTGGTTTTTTATTCAAATCTCTTCCAAATCAGATTCAATTTTCTTTCTTTTTTTATTCTTTGAAGCTAATCAATTAAAAAATAAAAAGTCAAAACAGCTTTAAAAATTAAAGAACAAAAGTACATGTGCACTCTTTCATTTGATTTTTAATGCCCGGAAAATTAATAATATGGGTGTCTACATAATTCCTTAGAAAAACAAGTCTGTCTAATTTCATAATCTTCTGTCTGATATTTTTTTCAAGTTTTTAATTTGTCTTTGATTTCCCCCTTAAATTTCATGTCTTATTCTTTTCTATATTTTTTTAAATTATTATTTAAATTCTTATATTAGAAACAAAAATTGAGGTCTGAGCGGGGTTCAGATCGATCTATATTCTAAAAAAATCCGAAGCTTGGTAGCCGATATATATTTTTAAATGAGCTAATGTCAAACTCCTTTCAATGATCCCTGAAATTTTCTTTTGTAGCTTGTATTCTTCCCTGTGCTTTTTTTATTTTTCTTTCTGTTTGCCAACTATTCAAAAAAGTGTTTTAAAAAAAACTTAAAAATTGAACAGATTTTTATATTAATTGCTCTACAAAAAAGTCACCTGATTCCAGAGTAAATTTTAACAAACAATAAATATATATTTTTATGTTTTTTCAACTTTTTCCTCCCATTTATTATCAGAAAAGAATTTTTATATATTTTTTTTCTTGACGAGAAAAATTATTTTTATTTCACATTTTACTCTTTTATTTTCTTATCAGCAACACACTACTATTTTAGTCAATCTATTTATTAATTCCTCATATCACAAACTTTATTAATAAAATAATAATATTATTTTTTTCTTATCTCAAGTACCCAAATTTTTATTTTATAATGCGTGTTTTTATTTTTATTTTGAGAATCTTTTAAAAAGGAAAACCCCCTAGAAAATGTTGCGGGGAAGGATGCCGATTTTCGGCGCCTTATAATTTTATTTCTTTGTTTCTGTCTTCTCTTGTTGATTTTCTCTTCCTAGTTGATAGTTTGATCTGTCTAAGTCTTCAATTGTTTGTCTTTTAAAATAACGTCAAGAGAGGAAACTCCCAAATATTAAAGCAAAAAAATTAAAAAAAGAGCGGTGGAGGACGCGACAAAGAGAAAATGTTGAGAAATGCTTTTTGCATCATCACGTGGAGATATCGACGTTTAACCCAGCCAATGTGTTTCCCCAACATTTTTTATCCATTTTATTTTTATTTCATTGGCAATAATTTATTAAAGATATTTTGTTTACGTCCTTTATTTTTTCATTGTTCACTTAATACTTGGAGTGAAGGCGCTATAACAGTAATATTCTGTAGAAGATTTGACGGTTTGGCGCTGAAACGGCCAGGTAAAATTTTTGGGACTCAAACGTCCCTTATCTCGAAAAAGTTAAGAGAAACGTTAAAATGCGGAGACGGCAGAATGTTCAACATTTTTTCTAAAATTCTTTTCAAAAATTTCACGAGCTAAGACTCTGCGGTGTAACTTATGCAAAGTTGCGCGTTGTATTACGTTTCGCATAGGTTTCTAGGTGCATGTTTAACTTCTCAATTTACATTTTTAAAAACTGTTCATTTTTGTATATTTCTTATTTTGTTGTTTTAAGGAATTAATTTATGTTTTCTATTTTTAGTGATTTCTATAATCTAATAACAACTCTAATTAATAAGTAATAAGGATGTCCAAAGAACCAATACACAGCGGCCATTTTATGACTTCAAATCCCCACAGTGAACTATCACCAGACGATGAAGATGAGGATGTTGAGGTTATTTTGAATTGTAAACAAGTAACAAAATACATTTATTTTGTAGGTAGATGTCGTCGACGTTGATGAATGTGTTTCTACTGCTCCACTTGATAAAAATGCTGCAAAAGAGAAGGTACAGATTTTTTGTTTAGTAAAAAGATTTGGACAAAATACAAGGCCATATTTATTGCGTTAATTAGCAGTTACCGATAAGAGCACTTGTGGTGTAGTGGTAGTGTTACTGACTTATCACTGTTGGGCTTGGGGTTTGAATCCTTTTCACTCATTTCGATTATTTTTTTATTTAGTTTTTCCCTTGTCATTTTTGCAAAATATTAATTTAAAATTTAATTTTAGGATGCCGAAAAACCCGTCACCTTTTACAAATTTGGACCCCAAAAAACTCAATCGATTGCAATTGATGTTTCTTTAAACAAATTGAACAAATGCATCAGAGTGGCTTATATGAAGATGACAACACCTAAATGGAAAGATTTTAAGGTTCTTTTAGACTTTAAGTTTATTTATTCCGTTTTTTAAAGGGAATCAAACTGCAATGGAAACATAGAATTCGTCTAAATAATGTTATTTGGCGTGCCTACTATATGGAATTTCGCAAACCTGGAAGAAAGCGACGGCCGCCATATTGCTATTTCTCGGTTCCTGACGATGATATGACTCATGTGAAGATAGAGGTTTTCCATTTTTTGTTTTATTGTAAATGGCTAAAAATTCAATCCTTAGGGAAGTGTTCTTGAAGGAATGTATTGGAAGAGAAGGTTTAATATTTAAGAAAAATCATCTTTTATTTTTTTAGAATGGAAGCAGTTTGTGCACAATATAAGCGATGGAGGGCCTATTTTTCAAGAAGAAAGCGTTGCTGTAGGAGAAGGGTAAATTTTAAATATTTTACTAACTTGGGACTTATTCGAACTTTAAAAGCTTGTTCTGCTTTAGTATCGTTATATAGTGTATAGCACCATTGACTTTTTCCTATTCTTTACTTTCTTGGATTATTTAGTTCGATTATGTCTCATAAATTGTTTAATTAAATTTTTTAAGGGACATAGCTGCAGTTGTGATCAATCAACATCAAATCATCATCATCTACTTATTCCTATGAATGAATCTTCAAGCCATCATTCACAACTCTTATTAAACAATCAACAATTTTTGAGAAGTATGACACCAGATAATTTAAGTACAATGGCTACAGGTTTAACTTCTGCACAGATTTTTTTAACTTAATAAAATTTAGAATGTTTTTTGGGCACATTATTTGATTTTGATGATGATATGGACAATGAATTCACCAATCAACTATTCGAACAATTAAATGCGCCATTTTTATTTCCAAATCCAAAAGAGGAAACTTCTGGTAAATTTTTTAAATAAAAGAATTGGACTCTACTTTTAACTTAAGCAAAAATTAAATGCCTCTGTAGAAGTTTATAAAAAAATTTTTTTAATTTTAAGTTCAATGTGATAATGCTGATATATTACAACCTGGATTGCTCTCATTACAACCAAGTATTGAAGAAATAATGTCAACAGATTACCCTTATGGCTCTTCAGAATATTCCTCCAATCAACTACCAACAACAAATCAACCAATTGAATATTCAAATGCATTAATAGAAAATAATGGAAGAGGAAGATTGAATACAGCAACAACAACATTAAAAAACCAATCTCAACAACAACAAGTTTTGTCCTCAACAAGAAGTCATCTTCCGACGCATCTATCAATTGCGGGAAATGACAATGGTATACCTTTACAACAACAACAATTATACTCTGAAAGAGAATATGATGCTGCCAATATGTTAATTAATTATAGGTAAATATATTTTTTCTTTTTTCAAGTCTAGTCAAAATCTAGACTTTATTTACTGATTTTCTTTTCAATTTGACATTTCTAACATAGACTTTAATTTAAAAATAGCTTTTATATGTCTGATGTAATTTTAAAATTAAAAGGCGAAGGAAGAGAGTGTGAGAGTAAAATATCTTCTCACGATTGATATAATCAATAATTCTATATTCTTGATTTTTTAAGGTTGTTAGCTAAATTTTGAGAAATTAGAATTTGAAAAATTGTATTTTCTTTTTATTTTTTAGCAATCAAGCACAAAATCTTCATTTACAACAACAACAACTCTCTTCATCGCCTTCAAATAAAGTATTAAGAAAACATCAAAAACAGCAACACTTGTTAGAAACAACAACAATGTCTTCATCTTCTTCTGATCAATCAACACCATTTATTGAAATACAATCAGCAGGAATACCGCAAATATTAACACCAAATATTTCAAATCCATTATATTCACAAGCAGCTGCTTATGAAACACAAAGAATTGCGGCAGCATTAAATAGTGGAGGGGATCAGAAGAATTCTGAAAGACAAATGAAAATTGGTGGAGGAAGAAATATTTACAACAATAACAATTCTTCATTGTTCCCACCAACACCAATGTCAAAAATTGCGAATCAGGTTTATTATTTTCTAAAAATCTTTGAATTAAATTTTTTTTCTAGACATCTACTACGCATCAAATAATTACTTCTGTTGCATCATCTTCACATCCTTCCCATTTTTCTTCACCAATTAATTATTCTTTGTTGGCCGCTGCTGCTACAACAAATTCTGGAAATCAATCAACTTTTAATCAACAACAAACAAATTTATTAAATAGAACATTAACTTCAACTTTGTCAAACCCAAATCCAATAATTAGTCAATGGTCTTCAACATCTTGGGGTTCTCAACAACAACAAACATATCCATTTTTGCAACAACAATCTCCAGCGGCAACTACTCTTGTTAGAAAGGCATCTGAAAATGTATTAAGCTAATTTTTAATTTTATAATTTGTTGTGAATCATTAGTCATGGAATAGTCCAGATAAACGAGAGATATCAAAAGATCTTTTTAATTCATTTTAATTGTTAATTTATAGAATCTCCTAACACCGTCACAACAACAATCATTGCCATCTATTCATCCACCAAATATTTCTCTTAGAAATTTTAGTACACAATCATTACTTTCTTCTTCCAATACATCATCACAACAACAACAACAACGTTCTTTTCCTTCAACAAATTCTTCACTTGTTGCAAGTTTAGTTTCATCAACAACTTTAACATCAAAAAATGAGCAACAACAACCATCAATACTTTCTTCTCATTTATTGAGCAAATCTTTAATTGAACAAAAACAAAATATTGAGCAGCAACAGCAACAAAAAATTGATCAAAGCAATGACCAATTATTACAATCATTAACAGAAGCAAATAACAATGCTTCTATTGGCCCTCAAGCTGTTAAAAGATTTGTTATGAGCGATATATCAAGGTTTGAAATTTATTTTCATTGGATTATTTAAGTCACTAGGGGATGAATATACAAATAATTAAGGGGTAAGTGGGTGGTCTTACTTCAATTTTTCGTGTTAAAAGTAAATTCATTTTTTTAAAGATTCCTTACTCAGCAAACTCCAATTATTACAAATTCTCCATTAATTCAACCTGGAGATAAATCAGCATTTGTAACTGGATTTGGGCAAACAACATCTTTAACAAATTGTTCCCTGCAAAATACTTTTCCGTCTTCGATTTCTATTCAACAACAGCAGCAATATTCACCTTCTATAATTAATAATATTCCTGTGCAAGTAAACGAATTAATGGGAACAAGAGGTTTTTTTGAATTTTCTGAACTTTAAATTACTTAATTATTTCAAGGCCAAAAACAACATCTACAACAACAAATATCTCCAAATTCAACAAATATTCCTCTTTCTCCCCCTACTAAAACAGCATTTTCACCACCGCAACAATTATTACCAAGAAAGATGTCTGTTTCAATTTCTTCAGCATTTTCATCTCCAAATAATAATTTGAGCGATGATAACAAAAAAATCAGAGGATCAAGTTTTTCTTCATCTTCATTATTATCTTCTACAAATCATCAAAAACAACAAAGATCACAAACAACAACTACTACGCATTTGGGTAAAAGACAACAACAACACAACAATCAAATAAATAATTTATCGCCACCGCAAAAACATCAAAAAAATAATGTTGCTGTTGAAAACAATAATAATGTTTGTTTGGTTGCTCAAACATCTACAACAAATAATAATTCATTTATTGATGAACTTGAGGTTTTTTTTCTTTTATAAAAATATTTCATTAAAACTTCTCTAATTAATTAGTTTGCTTCTATTGGACCTGTAAATATTCCCTCTACAGAATCACAACAATTACAACAACAACAACAATGTTTTAATAATACTGGTAATAAGAGAAGAAATTATAAACAATTATCATCACCACGAAATTCAACAACTAATATGTCTCCACCAATAATTATTCCTTCGCAACAACAACAACAGATGCAACAACCTTCTTATTTTAAACATTTACCCCCATCAAATGAAGCTATTTTATTAAATTCTTTAATTGAAAATAATTGTAATAATACAACAATTAATGAAGAATTAAAGCAACATAAATTACTTGAATTGGGGCAATTTAAACAAAACTTGGAGGTTAAAAAAGAAGATGGGATTGATAATAGAAATTTGGAGGAGAAAACAGGTTTTACTTTTATTTATGCTTTTCTAGTGTTAAGGTTATTTTTTTAGAAATGTGTAGCCCTTTTTCTTCAACCAATGATTGTATATTACAAGATGACAATAATTTATCTCCTCCATATTTTTCATCATCTACAACAACAATATTAACAGAAGAAGAAGGTTCTACATTAAATATTTGTACAAATTCGGCAGCAGCTGATTCAACATTAAATCCAGATGAACGTAAACGTATATTACATTTAAATGCGGAGAAGAATCGTCGTTCAGCATTAAAAGAAGGATTTGATTGTTTGGTTAAAGCAATACCTTTAGTTGAACAAGCTGGACTAAAAAGTACAAATGCTGTAGTACTTAATAGAGCGGCACAACATATAAAGAATTTAAAATTAGAACAAGAGAAGCAATTAAATCAAATGAAGATTTTTAAAGAAAAAATTGCTTGTATGAATGAAAGAATTGCGTAAGAATTTTTTGATTAAAATTTTATAAAGTATTTATTTTTTAAAGTATGATCCAAGCAAATTTGCCTTCATCTAATTTGAATGGTTCTAAGAATAATGACAATTCTCCAACAATTAGGATTCAAGTGGAGCAATTTTTTGAACGTTACAAACGAGATAAATCACAGGAAGACTACAGATTTTGGCTGGTTTGTTTTTATTTTTTAGGAGCTATCTCGCCCAATCTTACCTAGGTTATTGTTGTCTCTAGGCTTAAAGCCATCATTTTTTTCAACGTTCTCTCAGAATTTGATAAGTTTATTTGATATAGAGCATCCGCTTGTTTTGCTATCTTCCCATTTTGTATACATTCTGATCTTCTAAATAATTTTCTTTCTTATTACAGATGAGTGAAGTCATCAAACCAATTGTCTACTCTTTTGCTGAACAAATATATCCAGATGGAACTAATCGAGAGCGATTGTTACTGTCAGCAAAAAAATGGTTAGATGTACATTGGAATTCTGGAGTTCTGAGGCCAATTGCTTCGGATACACTTGTTAGGTTTGTTTTTGTTATTTATTTATTTTGTTTTTATTTTAATTTTTAAGAGTGGCTACAGCTAGCGGAGCATTTACCAATGAACAGGCTTTGATTGGATATTTTTCTCAACAAATCAACCAAGAAGTTTCGCCAAGTAGCAGCTCATCATCAACTTCATTATCACAACATTCTTCCTCATCAACCAATTTTGTTAGAAGAAAATAGTTTATTTTGGATTCTATATTTTTGTTAGAATTTTATTTATTAATTAATCACCTCAGAAATTTTTACAAATTTTATTTATTTTAACCGTCTATCTATTTTATCTTTTTTGCTCAACTTTGCTGTTATCTTTTCCCTTTGCTCAAATCTAAACTTTTGTGTTTAGCTTAGTTTCAATTGACAAAGTTTAACCCGATCCGTTTCTTATATTTTAAGATTTTCTAATATACGAAACAGAATTCTATAATTATTTTTCGATTTTTCATATTAATTGATGGATTTTTTCACAATAATTGGGATATTTTTGTATATTGCAAATATAATAGTAATAAATATTCTGTTTATTTGTATTTTCTTTGAAAAAGTTTTAAACTTTTTATTAATATCTCTAATAACTTTTAAGTTGTCTATTTTGGCAACTTAAAAGAATAAGAAAAGTCCCTTCGTCCCTTACCCCCCAAAACGGCGCGCGACCATAACGGCGCAAAGCCATAACTTGCTCCTAGATTTCCGAATCTCGATAAATTTAGTATTGAACGATTCAACTCATCGAGCTAAATATTTTGATACCAGAATTGATAAGGACCATAAGTTTTTCAGCAAGTTATGGCTTTGCGCCGTTTTGGGTCTTTCACCCGTTTTTCTCACATTCGAGAAAATTTTGTTTTTCAAATTTTATAATATTTATTTGTATTTTTTTTAAAAGTCGCTTTACTTATAATTTTTTATTTAAAAACGTTGTGAATTTTTCTTTTTCGTTTGGTTTTAAGCAAAATGGATAAAAATCCAATGTCTTCGCAATATGAAATTACTACAGCTTTATTGAAGCAAGAACGGGAAAAGAATAAGAAATTGTTAGAAGAAAATCAAGAGATGAAATTGTCAGTGACCAAATTACAAGAAGTGGAACAATTAAAGCTCGCAAAAGAAGAAAATAAGAAGATGAAAGCAAGGATGGATTTAATGCAGAAAAAATATCAAGAAAAATTGAAAGAATTACATGAAAAATTGAAAGATTTACAGGAAAATCCACTGCCTTCGCATCTTGTTACAAACTACAGAAGGGTATCAAATTTATTGGAGCTAGAAAAAGACAAAGCCAATAAACTGGAAGAAGAAAAAGAAGTGATGAAATCTTCACTGCCTCACGTATATCAATTTCAACTTGAAGCAAAGCGAGAAAAAGAAGAGAATAAGCAATTGAAAGCAGAAATGAATACAATGAAGATTAAATTAGACCAATTACAATCTCTGGTTGATTGGCAAGATCGACGTGAGATGTATGGACTTGAAATATTTCAACCGAAAATACATCAACTTCCCGATAGGAATATGGAACTGGAGGTTTTGTTTATTCTTTTTTTTAGATATTTTTGACTAGTATGAGTTGTTTCCATCCCCCTCCCTTCCCTCAAATTTCTATTTGGGTGGTGGCTTTCTTTGGGCTTTTCTGACCAATAAGATAGCCTAGCTCTGAGGTGCCTTTAGTTTTATTGGTGAAAATACGGTTTGGGTGAAATGTGCGGACTGCGGATACGGGGTGAGAAAACCAACTTTTTATAGGTGTTTAAGCCATCCCTCGTCTAGCATAAGTGTTGTAAGGATTTATTAATACATTTGAACTGAAAATAAATAAATATATTCTATGTTTTTAAGGAGGACTCGTTTATGCTTGAACCGTTACAAGAAGAACAACCCAAATTACAAGAAGAACAACCCAAATTACAACAAGAACAGCCTCGCAAAGTCTCGACGTTTAGCTTGGTATTTGATGGGAGTCCCGAAGATCTGGCAGAGCCAGAAGTCTTTAGAATGCGTGATAAGGTTTATTTTTTGTAATATATTAACTTATTAATTAATATATTTTTGCAGAAGAAAGTTGTTGATGAACACATTGTTGAAGAACGCCTCATCAAAAAAGTTCGATTTGTAGACGAAAAAGAACAAAAGGAAAAAGAAGTTTCAACAACAACAAAAGAAAAAGAAGGAAATACTAAAGAAAAGGAGTCTATTCCTGTTAAGAAGCCTCTACAAAAAGAATTGAACATGCCATCAAAAGTTCCAGCAGCTCCAATAATTGCAATAAGTAGTCATTTGGAGCAGCAAAACATCTCAACGACAAAAGAAGCAAAAGAACGAGGCAGAACTGATATTAAGATTAAGGTTATTAAATTAATCTGCTACCACCTTATTTTTGATTTTATCTTTTAAGCCTGCTAATCAACAAAGCGACAAAAATGATGATGGGGGAAATCGAAAGGAGAAGCCAAAGGTTAATATTTTGTTTATTGGGGAATTTATTTATGGCAGATTTTGACATCCGTTAAATTAAATTATTAACTTGACGGATTTTGGTACTTGTGGGGTATCCCAAACCAGTTATTGCGGATAATTTATGCGGACAAGTATTGGTACACACACATGATTAGGTTCTCATTCTTGAAGATGGTGAATCATAATATAGAGACTGATAGAGGCAAAGAAAATCAGTTTTCAGAAAACCTCACCCATTTGCGTGTCCATACAAAACTGCTTTCTCCAAAATGTATTTTGGAAGCCCCTCACTTCATTTTGCCCCACACCTTGTATGTATATCTTTTCTTTATTGGTGAACTCATTTAAATGATTCCACAGGTGAAATTTGGTAAAATCGAGGAAGGAAAACCCTTTGACCATTCCGTACATGAGTCCGCATAAATATGTCCGCAAACACTGGTTTCGCATAACCCACAAGTACCCAGTTTTATACGATATATGATTTGCGGATACAATTTTAATTTGTTTATTTTTGCAGAAGAGAGTTGCCGATGAACACATTGTCAATGAACGCCACGCCATTAGAAAAATTCGATTTGTAGACGATAAAAACGAAAAGGAAAAAGATGTTTCAACAGCAACAAAAGAAAAAGAAGGAAATACTAAAGAAAAGGAGTCTATTCCTGTTAAGAAGCCTCTACAAAAAGAATTGAACATGCCATCAAAAGTTCCAGCAGCTCCAATAATTACAATAAGTAGTCCTTTGGAGCAGCAAAACATCTCAACGACAAAAGAAGCAAAAGAACGAAGCAGAACTGATATTAAGATTAAGGTTATTAAATTAATTTGTTACAGCTTTATGATTTTATCTTTTAAGCCTGCTAATCAACAAAGCGACAAAAATGATGGGAAAATTCAAAAAGAGACGCCTAAGGTTAACATTTTGTTTATTGGGGAATTTATTTTAGGGAGCATTTTGGGAATCCAACGGCCATTCAATTTTTCGATTTATCTTAATTTAAGATTTATCATGTTTGGGTGGTTTCCTGATGAAATTTCACCCAAAGATTGAATTGTTTATTTCTAATTTCGATTTTTGATTAAACTTTTTTCTTTTTCAGGACAATAAGCGAGCAAAAGGAGAGGTTGGGAAATTAAAAATATATTCAAATAGAATTTTGAATTTTTAGCATGTCTCCACAAGTGAAAAGAAGAAAAGAAGGAGTTTTACCGCTTACATAGAAAAGCTGAAAAATGAAGGGCGTTCAAACGCTGAAATAGAGAAGCTGAAAAATGCAGAGAAGAAGAGGAGGGAAGAAGTATGGAAGGCAAAGAAGGAAGAAAAGCGAAGAAATTAAATGATTTACTTTTGTTATTTTTTTTATTTTTTAATGGAATCTCCATAACGACGTTTATTTGGTCAGCATTTCTGTCTTTGACTCTAAAACGGCTAAAACAATGTCGGTGTATAGGGATCCAATTTATTGACATTCTTGCTCTATTTTTTATTTTTAATTTAGTAGAACAAATTTCCAATTTAAAACTAGAAATCCATAAAGGTTCAAAAACCGTTATATCTTTACCATTTAACTAGCTCAGGGTGAGTAGCTGGGTGGGTGTAAAGATACTGTGGGTTTGGTTACGCTGGGGGGAGCGTTGGGTTACATTACTGTTAAGTTTTGGTTGTTTGGGGACGCGTCCAGGGACGCGCGTGGAAAGCCTGCGGCTTTAAAAGGACGCTAGATTTTCTTTTTTGCTTGGCGATTTACGTTAAATAGATTTAAATTCTTTTCATTGCATTTGGGGGCCTTCGGCCCCCCAAACCCAAAGTTTAGGAGGATACTTTGCCTTTTGGCAGCTGTGGTGGGTTGATTCGGGGACTCGGGGCGTTTGGGGGGCCTTCGGCCCCCCAAACCCAAAGTTTAGGAGGTTACTTTTCCTTTTGGCAGCTGTAGTGGGTTGACTCGGGGCGTTTGGGGGGCCTTCGGCCCCCCAAACCCAAAGTTTAGGAGGTTACTTTTCCTTTTGGCAGCTGTAGTGGGTTGACTCGGGGCGTTTGGGGGGCCTTCGGCCCCCCAAACCCAAAGTTTAGGAGGATACTTTGCCTTTTGGCAGCTGTAGTGGGTTGACTCGGGGCGTTTGGGGAGCCTTCGGCCCCCCAAACCCAAAGTTTAGGAGGATACTTTGCCTTTTGGCAGCTGTAGTGGGTTGACTCGGGGCGTTTGGGGGGCCTTCGGCCCCCCAAACCCAAAGTTTAGGAGGTTACTTTTCCTTTTGGCAGCTGTAGTGGGTTGACTCGGGGCGTTTGGGGGGCCTTCGGCCCCCCAAACCCAAAGTTTAGGAGGATACTTTGCCTTTTGGCAGCTGTAGTGGGTTGACTCGGGGCGTTTGGGGAGCCTTCGGCCCCCCAAACCCAAAGTTTAGGAGGATACTTTGCCTTTTGGCAGCTGTGGTGGGTTGACTCGGGGCGTTTGGGGGGCCTTCGGCCCCCCAAACCCAAAGTTTAGGAGGATACTTTGCCTTTTGGCAGCTGTGGTGGGTTGACTCGGGGCGTTTGGGGGGCCTTCGGCCCCCCAAACCCAAAGTTTAGGAGGATACTTTGCTTTTTGGCAGCTGTGGTGGGTTGACTCGGGGCGTTTGGGGGGCCTTCGGCCCCCCAAACCCAAAGTTTAGGAGGATACTTTGCCTTTTGGCAGCTGTAGTGGGTTGACTCGGGGCGTTTGGGGGGCCTTCGGCCCCCCCAAACC